CTGTACATGGAACAGTGCAGTCAGCACAGCTCAGGAAGCACAACTTTAAGTAAGACTGTGCACAAATCCTGCATGAGGTACAGGTTTCTTCTGCCTTTGCTCCCCTCTGATGCATTCCTACATGTACTGAGCCAATATGACTCAGGACACTGAGGATGGGAATAGAGAAGTCTGTAGAAGACAGCACAGCCACTACACCTCACACACAGGGTATCCTCTGGGGCTGATGGGCTGTTTCCTAGTAGTTTGACAGACTGCACCATCTCCAGAAATGCTGCCTATGGCACCAAGACTTAAAAAAAAAATAAAAATCAAACTCTAATTCCCAGTATCTTCAATGGCTCAAAATATTCTTTTTGAAAACCAAATGGTTTGTGTCTGTCTAGGTTATAGATCACTTGGAAGATAATTGCAGTATAGCTTGGGGTAAAAATAATCAAGTGGAAATAAGACACCTGCAGCAGCCACCCACCCATGATTCTGAGCAAAATTTGGGAGACTGCCTGTAAGGCCACTTGAAAAGATTCTGTTCCATTTGTTCTCTTCCCCTGCATTCATTATCATGATCTGACCGTTTTGTTTCGTTTCCCAGAGGTTTGGTTTTCCAAGAAGGAATCATAAAAGACAATATTCAGTGGAGTCAGAAACATGAACAATGCTCAAGTATCTGTTCCTTCTAGTATTGAAACTACAGAGGTATTAATTTTGAAAGGGGAAGATGAAAAAAGTCCTTCTATTGAATAAGTTAATAGACTTTAATTTGACATCTTATTAGCAAGAATTGGTGACACAATTTAAAAGCTGCATGTTGCAATATGTGTTAATAAAATTCTTGTTTCTACAGCTCATCTCAGGCATGATGATGCTTGGCAGCTGAGTTTTGCAACTGAGGTGAAAAGAACAGACTCCAAATGAATAGCAAAAACTATTACACAGACTAATAACTTGGCCTTCCTCCTGATCAACCTGACAAGCCTTCCTTTTAGTTAACAGATTCTTTAATTAGCTCATTGCTCCCAGCAGGACCTTGGAGATAGATCTTCAGAGTGTTGCAGCAGAAGAGAAGAACCATTAGGTTCTTCTAGAGAAGGGAGTTTCTTCCAGAGAACAACTTTCAGAAAACCATGTTCTTTTAAAAGTCAAAGTTACCTCTTACAGCCCTTATCTAAGAAAACTGGAGAGAACTTCCAGCTTGACAGCAAACAGAGGTTGTACTGTGCTTGACTAATGGTATGACTTCAACATTTTGTCCTTCCTGTCTTCAGACAAATTGGTTTGGATCTGTCTCCTGGGGATGTGTAAATTATCCCTCAACTGTGTATCAAGAAGGCACAAATGGACATCCTTGAAGATTCCCCTGGGAGTAGCACTTCTGGCAGTGTGGAAAGATGAATAGTACACTAAAAATGTAACCTTTTTATCATGTTTGGGAAATAGTAGTTCTATTGGCTTCAGCTTGATGGAATAACTAGAAATCCCTAGGGTGGCTGTAGAAAATATGAACATGTGGATGCATAAACCAGCACTGGGGAACTGACCCAAATCTATAAAATGGACCCAAATCCAGCACCCAAAGCTATCAGATGTGAGAAGATGGATTTCCACAGCCATTTCTTGGGCTTTTATTACATTGAGACCTACTTGGTCAAAGGAACATGCACATCCCACTAGGGAGACATCTACAAGAAGCTAACAGTAATAAAGATCTGGGTGTTTCTTTATTTCATAACAAGGTTTATGCAGAAATTAAATGTCTAGAACTACACTTCACTGCCAGTAAACACCCTTATTATTTTTGTCTTTCATTTTAGTTCTCGAATCCTTCCATATTATTCCTGAAAACTCATCACTCAAGCAGCAAGCACCCTTTTTATGACTTGAACACATCCTTTTAATAAAATATATTTTGAAAAGAAACCATTAGAGGAACTAAAACAGGAAAAAAAAGTGTGTTTACCCTTTCTGAAGAAGTGGGGCTTGATGACTGGATCTAACATGAAGAACCAACAGATCTTACCTGCAGTGCAAGTGCTAGAGCATGGATAGAGAATCAGCTCTAGTGGTGGTTTGTAAGAAGCACCAGCTAGAACATTGGATTCATGAAACTCAGTGGGGTAATGACTCTCTAATATCAGCCACTGGTACAATTTGTTGCTCCGTGGTTTTGGGAAACAAAAGAAAGCAGAATGTTAAACTAAGGAATGACAAAATGCCCATCACAAAGCAGCTGAACGACTACAACACAATTGTCAGTCTAAGAGATAAAAGGAAAGCAAAGGACAGCACCAGATTAATTAATAACCTTCCAGAAACAGTTATATAAGCAAATCATTTACATGCTCTACTTTGTAACATTAGTTTAGAATGGCTTTATGTAAGCACATGTTACATGTAATACTTGAACACTGTGGGTATTTTAAAACTACTGCCTTGGACTTTGCATGTCCTGAAGCTCTTGCTGAACACCTTTGTCATAACATCCACTCTGTGCTATGTGGTTACTGTCCTGAAGCTCTTGCTGAACACCTTTGTCACAACATCCACTCTGTGCTATGTGGTTTCTGTGAAATGTTGCTCTCCCAAACTCAGTACAGAAAACCCCTCTGAGGTTAGTTTCTATCTAGAGTGCTGAGTATGTGAAGGATACTTGAGTGGAATTCCACCCTACTTCACACACATGTGTGTGTCTTCTTCCCAGGGCTGACACTACCTGAACCTGCACATGGCAAAAGCAGGAAGAGCAGATCTGCACACATCATTACATACCTTAGGAAGCCTGGTTGTTCCTGGTCAGGTCACAGCTGCAGAATAAAGTGTCAGTAACACAGAAACATCTGGTTTTGCAGTGGGTGTACCAGTCACCATGAAAAGATGAGAGCCCAGGTTTTGGTAGGGGACAGCAATTGGAGTCAAACACAGCATTTAGAGAGTGATTGTCCTGCTCAGCTTCTGCTTCTCGACTGCAGCACGTCCGTGACAGCTTTAACAACACATCTCTTTCCCCAGGTGGAAAGTACACAAAAGGCAAAAAATTTTCCCTAGACTGGTGCAGACAGTCTTCTGCTCCCCATTGTACCACAGAATGATAGTGCCATAACTGTTACAATTACAGTGTAATAACTGTTGATATAAGCTGGCTTTGTAGTAGCAAATGGCTTTAAGTTTTACAGATGTTCTGTTGGAGGTGAACTTTGCAAATGATTCTACATTTCAATGTCTTACCCAGATTCTAAATATCCTTGCTGATGAGCACTGC